ATTAAAAGGTGAGAACTCCCACCGGGAAAAAAAAAAAAAAAAAAAAAAAAAGGGTTTTCAAACAATCTTTAAAATCCTGACCAGCATTTCTGATGTTTGGATGTTAACATGTAGCAGAGCTAATGGAGTCACTCTGGCTTTGAAAGAAAGATTTATAACAGCTGTTAAGAGCTTACTGTGTTTATAAATGGACTCATAAATTGGGTTGATGGATTCAGCTTAAAATGTCAATTGCATGCATTATTATTACTGCATTTACTCCTGTTGGCTACCTAATGGTTGTTGAGATGAACTGCTGAAAATTGTAGTTTTAATTGCTAATTTGGCTGTCTTCTTTTTTTTTTATGTTAAAGTATTTCTGTCGACTTAAGAATTTATATTTTAAGAATTTAAGTCGCAGCTTTTTATGTGCCCATCCCATTGATGAAAGCAGCTCTTTGCTCCGTCTCGACAAAGAGCTGTTGCTGAGATACAGCAGGTTGAACTGTGTCCGAGTTGGCACATTCATCAGTTCATAATTTGTCAAAGCAGGTTTGAAACGGTCATCTAGCAAGCAATATTCTCAAACAGGCTATCTTGGTGTGATTAGGGGTCACAATTTATGAAGGTCTAATTGTTTCAAATGACGATCTGATCCAAAAGAAATGGGGTGAAATTCAAAGTTTTTCAGAAAAATAATGTGAGATTTGAACTTTTTCAATGCTTGTTCATATCTCTAATTCATAAAAAAAAACTTGAATAGCCTATAAACCACAAAGCAGATACACAATGCTTTGAAAGTGTTTTATTTTATGGTGTAGAATGGAAGTAAGACACGCTGAAATCACAACACAATTGAACATAATTGCACATAGTCTGGGTACAAAAGAGGTTAACTGACCCAAAACCTAAACTAATGGAAAGACATGAAGGTGAAACCTACTAAATGAGTGCGATTCCCTTCAAATCAAACCGTTGTGTTTTTTTTTTTAAATAATCATGTTTCAGACTTTTGATTTCCATGTGAACTATTGGGGAACGCACATTTTCACAATAAAAAGTTCTCAGTTTTCAAACTGCTGCTCGGTGGCGCTTCAACATCACACATCATTCGACGTCTGTCGACTTTCAGAGAAGGGAAAACGAACGCATACATGAAGGTATGCGCTTTTCAATCAGTAGTCCAATCTGTTTTCCTGGGCAGTTTCCTTTAGCGTATTACTGTTGTCGAAAACAATTGCACGAGTAAATGATGCAACAGGACAGCAATTGCAGTTTCATGATGACTCTGAGGAACAAGATGAGAGTGCCGTTTAGTTTGATTTGAGAGTCTGGATGAAACGGCTGACTCACCCAGGTCAGACCTGACTCTGACGGCCTCAGAGAGGCAGGACTGAGGAGTTGATTCATGTTCTAAAAACTCCGGCTAGCCGGGTTCGCATTTGGAACGTAGAGAACTGAAAATCCTCCCACTAAACTCTCGCAAACCGGAGAACTATTTGGAGACGCACAGTAAAAGGCAGCCAGAAATATGCGAGGAAGTTTAAAGGTAAACAAGTGGCTTCTTCTATCGACATCTGATCTGCTGTGGCGTGCTCTTCCACTTCCTGCCTCATTTCCTTCAGGAGTAAAATTCTAAAGTTTGTTTTATTTCTTTGTTCTGATTTGATGCAGTGTAAAATAATAATAATAATAATAATAATAATGATTTTTGATATGTGTTTCAGCTCTGCTGGAGTTCAACCAGTCTGTGCTCGTGAGCAGGAAAGATCCGGAGTCGAGAAAGATGGCCGTTGCTAAGCTCATCGAGAGGCTGACCTCTAAAGGCTACTGGCCCCAGGTACGAGGTCAGGTGGTCGTCTGCAGGAGAGGCCATGTCTACTTAGAACAAATTATAAGACAAAGGTTTTTCTTTTTTAATTTATTTTTGTACAGTTTTCGATTAACCACTACTGCTGTTTTCTAATCAAATGGACTTTCAAATGGACTTCCATGCTCCAATGAATCGATTGTGAAATTGGTTGATTTTATCAATAATCGATTCATCGCGATTAATCTGATTAATCATTTCAGTCCTAGTCATTTCTTCCTCTGCTGAAAAAACATTTTCAGTCAGAATTATACAGTAACACTTTAGTCATTTAATGTCAATTTTATGTGCAAACTTGAGAACAGAATTAAGACCTGGTAAATGTATAGTTTTAAAATAAATGTGCTTATTGTTGCGAATGTGTTGTTTTTGTCTTACTGCGGACTCTAGTTTTATTATGACCTCATCAAGAATGAAGGCTGGCTTTAGTGTCCACTTTGTGTTTTTTCATAAATGGAAATATTTATGAAAACACAAAATATTTTTCTGTTTTTCCCCATCACTTTCTTTTACGTGACGGATAAAGGTCTGCTAGCCTTGCTTCAGCTAGCTTAGCAACCGTTGATGGCAACAGATTGAGGAGGCAAAGCATTACTCAGTTTCTTTAGGATTTTCTCTGGCATCTCATTACAAGGACTTTAAATAGTAGGTAATATATGCTGCAAAATTATCACAGATTATAAAACATGGCATGAAAAATCCTAGCTAGATTTATTTTGTGCATTCTGCTGGTTTAATAGAATTATTTTTGATGTTTGGCATCACTTCTTAGCTACCGTTTATTTATTTTTTTTTTGTGGCTCAAAATAGGTGGAGAATTATTTTAGATTGTTCTTGAAATGCTATTGAGATGCTATCACTTGATTGAATTCATAAAAGAAGCAACTTTTCATTTTCTAGATGCTCATGTTTCCAGAGGGAACCACGACTAATGGCCGAGCGCTCATCAAGTTCAAGCCTGGTAGGTGTCTGCAGCGAGAACAAACAGAAAACGTGATGTCATCCTGAGCAAGACCGTCCTGACTGGTTGAGTAAAACTTGCACGAATCATGCAGGAATTGCTCAATAATCGGAGTGGTTTCATTTTCTTGTTTTGCTACTTGTTGACTTGGTACATTTCCAAGACATTTTTCTTTGTCTCCTGATGTCAGGTGCCTTTGTCGCTGGAGTCCCTGTCCAACCAGTTCTTCTGCGCTACCCAAACAAAGTGGTGAGTGCAATAATTGAGGAGAAGAGTTTCCGTCCCTGATGTAAATAATTCAGTCCCAATTATTTACATCCACATTTACATTTCGGATGTAAATATTTGAATCCTTAAAATTCTTTAATGCATGCATGATGAATTGCAGGTCTCCTAACACTTTCCAGCATTTCCATTCACACCGGACCCTCTTTGGTCCACTTTAATCAAACTCTGGTTTATTTGCCGAGAAAGTCCGGTTCATTTGAGGAGGTGAGAATGCGTAATCAAATTCTGATGCAGACCAAAAAAGCAAACTTCAGTCTGCCTAAAAACCTAGGTCTCGGTTTGGTTTGGTTGACTTGAACTCTGGTTTGGTTCAAATAGATATGTGAACGCCGGACTACTCCAAAATTAGGAAACATATTACAGTGCACGGCATTCTGGGTAAATGTAACTGAAACAAACACAAGAGTCTTTTTGTGAGAAATGTCTTATGGTGCTTCACCAAAACAAAACAGAAATCCTACAGTCGCTAAAATCTGATGCCGCTTCATTTTTCTTAACATTTCATGAACAAGGAAGTTGCTCTCATGCCTTCTGCAAGAGCTATATGAATAAAATAAGTAATTACTGATTTGACAGGAGCACGCGGCTTTGACACCTGGGTGGTGGGTGTGTCGATGTGGGCGTGACTGTCACCAAGTATGAATGGGAAGGTGACTGCGCGCTGGCTTTGTGTGTGAGGAAGCGGGTGTGAGGGGAGATCATAGTTTCTGTTGACCGTGTTGTGGTGCAGTTTATTGTTGGCACCATTGCATTGTTTGGTCTGGTCAGTCTGCGTCAGTCGGCATCGCAGTCCTGTAAAGTTTGAACTCTGACAGTCAAAATGGAAAGAACCAATAATTGTGACAGAACAAAGAAGTGGCCTGGAGTTGATTGAAACATGGGTTGGACAGATGAATTCCTTGAGTTCACCCAGTGCGGCCCTCATATACCATTAATTTGCTGCACGTTTATCTTCTTCAGAGGTTTTTGTGTTGTTTCTTAAACAGTTCTTGGCACAGCACCACCACAGGTGAATGGTGAGAGGGAGATCAGGTATTTCAAAGTGTTGGGCTCGTTTGACATACTGAAGTGTGAAAGCTTAATGGATCAGCTGAAAATTTAACAAATGTTGCAAGTTTTGATCCCTAATCCAGGTGTGAAAAGTCCACAGGAACTGATTAGCTTCAACCACAGGAATACAAATGTTTGTGTTCCAAAAAATGCTGAGAGTTGTTAATGTACCAGACACCAAGATGTCATAAAAGGCCTGCACTGGTCATGCAAATGACCCAGTTCTGAACCATGAGTCTAGACATGATATTACAGAGCTGTAGAAATGGAACAGCAGCAAGTGAAGTTAGCTGCATTTAACAACAATGTGTGCCTCTGCTCTATTTTTACTGTTCTTGCTGTTTTTGGTATTGCATCATCCAAAAACATGTATGAACTTACATTCACACAAGTGTACAATAAAAGCTTTGTGCTGTTTGGCAGATGGCATTTTTGACTGTTTGGAGTCATGTTCGAAAGATGAATGCAAACACTGTTTGGTTCAGTGTTTGCATACTGCAAATATCACTGTGTTTAACATGGGGAAATGGGAGGCATAAAAAAAACCCCTCTGAGATAAAACCATTTTTGTCCCGCTTGCACTGTTTGATTTGTGTTTTTATGGCTCTTCCTCAGGACACCGTTCGATGGACATATAAAGGGGCGTCATGGTGAGTTCCTTAAGCTAGCTTATTTTTGTTTCTTCTCAGGCTTGTGTTGCATTGAATTAAGCTTGTATGGATTTGATTAAAAGGAGGTAGAAATGCAAGTGCGTTGGTATAAAAGTGCATTAAATTGGTCTAATTAGCGACAAACATATAATGTCAGATCATTTAATCAGCTAAATCACAGGTTATGCTTTGTATTGCTTTAGTTAAGTAAGATTATAGTTGGCAATACTGTTTTGATCAATTGTATTGTAGATTATTCTATTCCCATCCATCAAATAATGTAAAATACAGCGATAAACCACAATCTGATGTTGTTCACACTCTGACCACTTGATGGCAGCAAAGTTAATCAATATGAACATTTATAGATGCATTTGTACTACATTTGTCAACGGGGATAAAGATTGAAAGCAGTTCCAGGTGATGGGAGGTCCATAGCTAATAGCGTAGTTTAGCGTAACATCGTACTTTAGCATGAATCCATATTAGCTGGACCTGAAAGCTAACGGGTAAGTTTGTGAGGGATCGAGACCAAAGTGTTCTGCCATATGTAGTCTCAAAGGGTCTCATCAGTTTGCGCAAATGCTATTTGGTAAAACTCAAATTTAAATTGAGTTTTGTTTGCAGTAAAACAGGTGGCAACTTACAGGAAACACAAGTCGGAGGTGGTGTGCCACCAATAAGTTTCCCATATGAAACGCATATGAAAACTGGACGACAAAGTATCGCCTGTCGAAAGAATAAAGCAAACAATGCCAGAGCAGTGTATGAGTGCGGTTTTGCTTTGCTTGCTATAAACGTTTTAAATATTACAGTATTGGTTTGCATTTGACACGGATAATTTGTGACTCACAGCCTCCAATTCAGCTTCTATGTAAGTTTGCATCAACTGTATAAAGGCCATAAAGTGGCATTAGCATAAATTGTGAGGACATTATTAAGGTTGTATTTGACTTTGAAACTGCAGCTCGCTGCTGTTGCCGGGGCTGCTCCCAGGCTAGCTATTAGCTTCAGCCTTTTGGACCAACTCATTTGAATTTACACCTAATTAAGAGTATTATTAACAGAACCTCAATTGAAACAAACAATAACAAAAAAGTTCTGCTAATACTTGAAGGTCATTGTTCCATTAAAATGTTCCTTTAGAAACTGATCAGTCTGAGAGGTAAAAATGAGAAAAAATGTTTTGGTTGCTTTATGTATAAGTGTATTCAAGTATAGAATGAGGAAAACATTTTTGACATCTTGTTGGAAATGTTTACATTATTCAAGATGTGACAGGTAAATCTCAAGAAGTTGCATTAGACTTCATGTTTTCAGTACTAAGGATTATGTTTTGATGAGTGAAGCACATTCAATCTGTTAGCATTTACTTAAATAATTTTCTTAAACTTCCACAACTTGTTTAAATTAATTTCTTGCTTTGCAATAACACTAATTTTTATGTTTGATAATTCAGTCTCACTGGTTCAACCCCAAGTATTTAAGCAAGTCTATAACTGGGATAAGAAGTTGGTGTCTGATTTAAACTGGCTCTCTCAAGTTTTCTTCTTGAGTTTCCTGTCATAATTAGCACACTATGCATTCTCACAAGTGTGTATCATTTTCTCTTTATTTTTTAGGACCGATTCAGTGTGGCACACTGCTTCACAGTTTTATACAAACATGACTGTTGAGGTAAGAATCGTATATCCCCCCTCCCCACCCTATTTCCTTACAATAAAGTCATAAATATGTGTACTCAGGGTGTGTTCTCTGTTGGCTGCACTAAGAGGTGCAGCAGATATGAAGCTGTATTTACCCATATCGGCCACTTTTTTAAAAAATTTTTTTAATTTTTAATTTTTAACTTCTCAAGAAAAGGTTTTAAAAAAACTTAATCTGCGAGTAAATGACATGCTTTATTGTCCTGCAGTACCTGCCTGTTTATAACCCGTCTGAGGAGGAGAAGAAGAACCCCAGCCTGTACGCTGACAACGTCCAGAAACTCATGGCCAAGTAAGGAGACGACCACGCCTGTCGCAATAAGCAACTACTCAACTAATCGCATGAGAATTTAAAATGAGTTTGATCATTTCAGAATATTTTTTGAAGGGCAATTTTGTTTACAGAGAAATCTTAATCAGTTGTATTTATGATCGTGTTTTATTTTAGATTTTATTTCACAGATATATTAAAATTTGGGCCGATATTGATATCCAAATATTGGCCAATAACCAGTATATATATATATATATATATATGCTTCTGCTATTTTGACACCTTTGGTGGAAAAACCCCCAACAAGAAACAAAAGGCATCAAGATGGAAATAAATGTCGGTTGTTCATATTGACTCAGTCGATACCGATATGTTAGAAAATGACCAATATCCGCCGATACTGATGTTGGTGCTGATATATTGTGCATCTCTAATTTGGGGTATTTAAAATATCTTCCAGTTCCAGTGTTAAGAGTTCTTCACAAAATTAAAATTTCTCTGTCTTTGCGAAGGTGAACTAGCATCATCATGCCATTATCAATGGCCATTATCAATATGTGACTAGAAAATGGTATCAAAACCACAATATTATCACAGTTATTCCTGGGACAATTTATCATCCAGCAAAATATGTTATCGAGACAGACAAGCCTAGGCACAGAAAGCTCATGTAGGAATTTTGATTTTCGAACCGTCTAGCCAGACTCTAGGCACAGTCGACCATATTAATAACACAGTAAACATAACACATGTTTATGTGTTATGTGTCTGCCTCAATGGCAGCTCCCGTCAATGGCAACAGGAGCTGCCATTGACGCTCCCGTTTTTCCCGTTCCTCAAAGGGGAAAAACTGGTTTATCATATCGCTTGACTTTGAGAAACGCTTGCAGATTTCTGCCACCAGAGGTAGCAGCTGAGCCATATTTATGCGTTAAATTGTTTTTGATTAGTAGTAAAGATACGCTTTAGTTTCTGACTAAGACGCCCACGACCTGACCCGTTTCCTAACGGTTCTTCACTGCTCCACAGGGCGTTAGGAGTCCCAGCCACAGACCATGTGATGGAGGGCAGGGTCCCTGTGAGCAAACTGGGGGGCCTGTCTCTACCGCTGGAACCTCCTGGCAGGGTAACGTTGTCTCTTCTGCGTAAAAATGGGTAAGAACTCTTTTTTTTTTTTAATCTCTAGACCAAAGCTGTTTGGTGTTATTTAAACTAACCATTGTCTTCCTTTTTGCATCTTTCGGTCTCTTAGACTGGAAACCCATGAAATCAAAGCGGCTCTGACCAAAATGATTGACAGGTGTCGGTGTGGAGCTCAGGGGTCAAAGGCCAGTGCAGATGAGCTCACCTCTATTCTCTCACTGAAGGATAAACAAACAGCTGTCTCCATCTGTGGCTTATATTCAAAGGTAAAGTCAGTTCTTTGGGTCTGAATGAAGCAAAAAAAAAAATGTTTCTTTTGTTCCGCATACTCTGTGTTTTTAATATTGTGATGTTGGATGTTACAGGCCACCTTCATAAGAAGGGCTCAAGCTGACAATTATTCAGATTAATCAATTATTCTGATAATGAATTGATTAATCTGATTAAAAAAATGGCACATTCTACAGATTTTTCATTTAACTTTTTAAGATTTTTTTTTTTACATATTAGAAATACTTTAAAAATGCAAATAAACAAATCACTTACTTTTCAAATGAGAACATTTTATTGCCTAAAGTACAATAATGTATTACTTTTATGAATTTGAATCGGCCACTTGAGTTTTGGGTGAAACACGTTGACGGAGTGTTTTTATCTTGAATGCAAAATGTATCTCTTTTCTGTACAGTTTTGGCTTAATCACTGCTCTGAATGTTGTTTTTTTTTTTTTTTTAAGAAATGGCCTTCGTGGGTGTGTGTGTGTGTGGGTGGGTGTGTGTGTACGCGTACGCGTGTGTGTGTCATGATTAATCTGATTAATAGTTTCAGCCCTTACCAAAAGTTTAAAAAAATTTTGAAACATCTCTTAATGAAGCTTTTAGCCTTTCCTTTAAACAACCATAAAAAACAATCGTGGCCCGTAAAATGTGGTAAAGTAAAAAGTTTGCTCTGTTTTTATGCAGCAATCTATGAATATGTTTTTAATTTCAGTTAAAAAAAAAGGAAATCTTAAAAATAGACTTTCAGGTGAAATAATTGGTCACATGTGTGAGCTCTTTCTTTGCGTTCCTCATCAGGATGAAACGGTGGACCTCAGACAGCTTTACTTCAGCGTCTCGGCTCTTAGCGACTTCACAAACTTCAAGGCCCTGCTTCACTCTGCTTTTACAGTAAGTGTCTTGCATGTTTGACAGAAGTTATTGGTCTTAGATTTGAACGTACGTTTCTAGAAACGTACATTTCTAGAAATGTACGCTATGATCAGGATGTCCCAAATCCTTAAAAAGTCTGAAATTCATAGATATAAAATTAAGGCCTTAAAATACACCACAGTATACACCTAGCTCATACAAGGCTAGGTGTATACCGTGGAGAAAAAAAACAAACTTGAGCTTGGCACTATGGCAGCTACGGCTGTAGAGAACCACATGCAGTGTGAAAAGCACAAAACTACAGCCGAGAGCCACAAACAGACCTCACGAAGTTCTCAGTTGTTGCTATTCTTGTTGTTTAAATCTTGATTGGACTTAAATATTAGTGAAGGTGTCATTTAAAAAAGTCTTAAATCTGACTGCAGACACCCTGTTAATGCTCTCCTTTGTTCTCCTACCTTCCAGCTGTTTGACCAGGAGTCGAAAGGCAGCCTAAGTGGGGAGGAGCTCTCAGACCTCATGGGGGCGCTGCTTGGCATCCCACAGCACAACACCAGTGACCTGTATACCGAGGCCTCCAGTCAGGGGACGCTTACTGAAGGTGCGCATTCACAATGTTTTTTTTTTCTTTTCTTTTCTTTGTCGATCAAACACGATGCTTTATGTCGGGCTAAAACCAAAATGTCTAAATGTTTGACAGAAAACCTGCTGCGAGTGCTGACGACCCATCCGACCTATCAGAAAGTGGTGAACGACTACCTGCAGGCCGAGGAGGAGGGGCCACAGCCGTCGCCCGCTGCTGCAGCAGCCAATGGGAAGGCTGTGAACAGCAACGGCGTGACGCACGGCGCCAACGGGTTCCTACAACACAAGAAGCTTGAATGAGCTTTTAGTTACTGGTGGTTCTCATCTGACCGTTTTCCCCCCCCCGATCACGTCGGGACCAAACAAACCCAAAGAGTTCTATTTTTATATGTTTTATGATATTTTTAGTCGAGCATCAATTGCACAAACGTGGAGAAACGCCCAAAGAGCAGGGGGAGCTTTCCTCCGAAGTGGCTCTGAGGGTTCGTATGTTTACTGGTGTCTTTTTTATATATATCTTTCAATAAGTACTTGTGTGTCATTGGAGGTTAATTTTACTAAAAGCAAAAAATAATTTATAAAAATAAAGGTGACTTCTGGACAGTGATGTGTGTGCCAAAATAACTAAACACTGTAAATTTATTGTGATTCTTAAAGCTTGTGTTTTTGTTTTGTATGTGTTTATTTCAGAAATAAACTGATGTGTTTTAAGCTTGCTTTTTGGGGGTTTATTTGTCACTCTATATGAAGCCAGGTTGCTCTTAAAGTCCCTCTTTCCCTTTTTATCCTGATTTTGGGCCCTCTCTGCTCAGAGTCCCGACTGGAGCAGAGTATTTCCGGAGTCTCGTCGGCGCCCCCTTTCCTCTTTTCCGAGGTATTGCTTCTCTGCTTGTGCTTCTTCACTGTACCTGTGGGCTCTTCTTCTTCCTCTTCCTCATATGCTTCTTTGAACGCTTCAGGCTTTATTTTTAACCCATTTGCTCTCCTTTGTGAAATTTTCTGATTTTTTGTTTTGCCCCTTAGGAATCGCTGCTTCTTCTGCACTTCACTAAATGCTGGATACGGAAAACCGTCTGACTCTGGACCTCCTTCAGCTGTTTTCACAGAAGGGAGCGTCTTCATCCTTTTGGAGGTACATTTTGGCTTACATTTGGCCTTTTGACTGCATTTGCCAACCGTTGTGTTGCTTTTGGACTTAACAGACAGTTTGGGTGGAAAGTAGGCTTTGTAAGCCTCTGCCTTTGTTTTTCTGGACGCTTTAGCAGGTTGAGTTATTTTGCGCTTCGTCTCTCTTGCTCTTCCACCTTTCATCAGGCTCCGGGGCCGCAGAGGTTCGCCTGAATCTTTGTACTCGTTCACCCCCGCTGCTTTCCTTGACGAGGAGCGTTTGGTTGTCTTTGGCGCCGGCTTCAATCTGTCTGTCTTTTTGCTTTGAGGTTTTTGTCTCGCAACCTTCTCTCTTTGTTCTTCTTTTATGCTAGATAACCATTTGCTACTCATCTCCATCCTTCTGAAGAAATCCAGAGGTTTTCCTTTTGGCACTCTAGACTCCTGCCACTTGTCCATGAACTTTCGGTGTTCCTGATTTTTATTGGTTGGTTTCCTATCTCTAGCTCTGAAAGGGTAACCGTCTCCGTCCAGTTCGTTGGTGTGGTCCTTCGCCCTCTGACTCCATCTGATGTCCGTGCCGAAATTCGATTTGCTGTCATTAAGAATGCCTTTTTTTCTTGCCGTTTCTCGACTTTGTGTCTCTGTTTTTAGAAAACGTTTCTTCGAATATCTTTGACTACGTCTCTTCCTGCAGTCATCGTTGACTTCTCTCGAATTCTTACTGGTCAAATCTTCAAAATGGCTGCCCAGAGGAAAGGACGTGTTCGGGTACATTAGTTTTTCTTCTACGGGTGTCAGCTGGATTGCAGAGAAGCCACACAGGTTCTTCTTCGGTTTGTCTTCAGCTAACAAATCTAGCTTGTTTTGGTAATATTTTCTCTCGCATTCTGTGATTGGAGCGTCTGACAGCAGGTACTGGATTATTCTTTCAATTTCAGATGGCGGTGGAGGCGTCTTCTCTGCACTTTTCTCATTTAAAGGTGGGTCTACGCTCTCCTCCATAAGCGACTGTTGGTCAAACAGGAACATAAAGAGACTTGTCAATTACAGCAGCATAAAGTAACAATGTAGTCAAAGTCCGACCAGTCTGTCCTTTGAAGGTATGTCTGATTTGCCCTGGCTTTGTATAGTTCATGTACATTAGGATCAGTAGTATGAAGACATCAACTTCCCTTTGCTGTGACACAACTGCATTTTTTTATTTTTATTTTTTTATTTTTTAAATAATAGAAACCCACTGTCTTGGGTTGAAAACTCAGTACTCCAGTCTTTCAGTGACTTCAAGTGGTCAAACAGTTACCAGCTAGTTTTTCAATTTTTATCAGTCCAACTGCCTTTGCAAGCTATTAAAAACATTTTTCTGAGGTTAACGTTATATTTGGGTCACTAAACCTAAAATTTTAGTAGGTATTACTTGAGTAAATTTTATAGCGGGCTCTGATAGGCTCTTGCTGCGGACTTTTTCAAAATGTCCTCAAAAATATAAAAGCCATGGCAACTTGGCATGGCCCAAGTTTGAACTTTCTTCAAAATGTCTCTGGAGTTTAGACGTAGAATTGCATTCTGAACTCCATGTCTTGGGTCAGATGTTTTCGGAATAAACAGCAGGAACTTTGACCCGTTCTTCCAGACAAGAACAGATGAAACTGGGTCGAATTTAAAGGTTGATTTGCTTACAAACACATTTTCAGCTCTGCCCACAAGTTTCCTATCGTACTAATGTCAGGGCTTTGTGAAAGTCACTCCCAAACTCCGGATTTATCGTCCTTGAGCCACTTTGTAGCAAATATGGGGTTAGAAGACTCTTGTGTCCAAGCACAGATGGAGGGAAATGTTATTTTTAAATGTTCCTTACTACTTATTCTTTTTTGTAGCAATAAATCAATAGCTTTAATGTCTGCTTATCATCTTTTACCTGCAGGTCTTCCAGTGTGAAGTCAAAGGTGTTCAGGTCTGAAGGAAAGAGGCAGTTCATGTCATCCATGTCCAACTGATGATAAAAAAAAAAAAGACCGACATGTCAGTTTTCAACAGAACAAGTAAAATGTCTTTGTTTTTTTGTCAAAATTAATTTCAGATAATTGAACAAATTCTTATATTAGACAAAGATAATCACACAAAATCTACAAAATACAAAATCTAAATGAATGCTTCATTTTATTAAGCGGAAAAAAGTTCTCCAACTTTTTCCACATTCCCTATGTGGAGAAAGTAGCTCTCCTTTTCTTAAACTGTGATTAACAACTTAAAGTAAAGTAAACAAAGTGCCATAATAGAACCTGCTTGACTGCATAAAGTAGGTTCAAAGTTCTCCAAAATTAACACGTTATGCTGCCACAAAACACTTTAAATAAGCAAACAAACAAAAAAAACCTTATTGAATCAGTACCCTGGTCACTTTGATTTAAAAACAAAAAAGAAAATTCAATAAATGCATCAAAGAAATCTTTGATCCCAAAAATTCTGGTTTATGTGTTATAATAACTTACATTTCTGACCAAGTTTGTGTCATTGCCCAGATCATCCTGGTGATCCATGAAGGAGCCGATTTCTGTCGCTGGAGTCTCATTTTCTTCGCTCTGTGTGGAAAAATTTACTTAGTTTTAAAGCGCCAATGAATACGATCGTTTCAACATGGGGATTTATATATATATATATTTTTTTTTTGCATTTCGGAGTTGAGTGTTTTTCTCCGTGTGGTTTTCTTTAGAACCCAGAGACCTTGAGACCGAAGGCGTTGGGGACGTCCTTGCTGTCCTCCCAGGTCCTTTCCATTTGCAGCCGATCCTGAAAAGCAGCCACAGGCTTTGAGGAAACTCGGCTGCCTTGTTCCTTGGTCATGTCGGGCGGGAAAACTTTGTGTTCTTCTGTGAGGAAGAGAGAACAGCGAGAATCGAGGGGCGGTTCTGGCGTGAATGGTCTTCTGGTTCGGGTTCTACTCTCCATCCCCAGAACCAAACACGGAGAAGCAGCATTCTGCTTTTATGTTCCTCTAATCTGGAACAAACTTCTAGAAAACTAGAAAACTGCTGAAACACTGAGCTCCTTTAAAAACCAGCTGTGTTTGATTGTAACCTCTGGAACATTGATCAGCATATCCGGTGTGTGTTGATGATTTTGATGATGGCGCTTGACAAAATGTAATGTTTATTGCTTATTTCATAACTGGTTGATGTTTTTACGGTTTAAAGAACTTTGTTGTGCGTTACAAATAAACTCACTTGATTTTATACCTGGCCTCTTTCAAAACAACTTCTAATCACTTACTTTTTTCCTTCCTCCTACCCTCCGACGTCTGAGGACCATTCAGCGCCATGTTGTCTTTTCTGCTATAAACCCTGTGGACCAGATTTAGCACACTAAGAAGCCAACCATAAACCCTGTGTGATTAGCATTATGTATCTTCCTTACAGAACGGGTCTGTAGGTCTGGTAGAACGCCTCCAATGGGAGGCCCATGCACCAGCTGGGATAACCTTCAGGTGTGAAGAACATTTGGGGAGGAGGTAAACACGCGCCGTGACAGAACTCCGGCATGTTGATCACCATGCAGGGGCCCGAACCGAAGCTGAACAGAGGCGGGGGAGGCAGGTAACCCGTGTTCACCATGCAGGAGTTTCCGGGAGCCCTGGGTTCAAAGTGCATCGGCGGCAAACCGCCACAAACCATGGTACCGGGAGATGGGAAACCTTGACAGTTCCAAGGTCTGGGACAAACGGCAGGAGGAAAATCTCTGGTGGGTGGGTTCAACACGGGGGCCTGGAAGGGGCTCATGAGGCCGGGGAAGTGACTGTGCGCCACTGGTCGGTTGCTTTGAACGTAATCGATGGTCCCCCTGAGCATCTCTGCAGCCGGCGGTGAGCATGGTGTGGCGGCGGTATCAACGTTCAGCTTGTGGACCTCGTAAGAGCAGATCAACTGCTCCTTGAAGATCGAATGGCCCGTTTGAGGAGCCGGCTCAAACCGAGAGGGGATGTTTTCCACCTTGTGGAGAAGATCTGTGCCTGCAGCGACCAGAGAGGAGTTCTGAGGAAAGGCCAGGGTTGGGGTCGGAGTCGGAGTCGGGGTCAAGGCCGTGGCCAATGCTCTGGGCAGGGAGCATTGACTTTCCTCTTCCAGGATGGAATCCGGTGGGACGGTTGACACTGGCTCCATTGCTTAGCTGATTCTGAAACGGGGAAGCTAAAGTTCAACTTTTGGTGCAAAAATAAGAATTTAAAGGGGCAGTATTAAGTGAGCCATTTCATAACACAATGAAGTAACTATGTTACCTTCAGTTGTTATAAAAATGCTGCATTTATTAAATATGACTTTTATGTAAAGCCTTAAAATTGGGCCTCTGTCTCTTTAAGAAGCTCCTGCTCTTACTGGAACAACGCCTTCAGGAAGTCATCGCAACATGGGTCCTATATTAACTCTTTAACTATGTTTTTACCAGCTGCTGGCACACCTGGCGCAGTTGCACCGGGTGTTCGCTAATTCCTTCTGGCTAGTCTGAAGGAGCTGAGGAGTGGGAAGGGGTGCTCTGTAACGTGGAAGCTCGGCTTGAAAACTGCAGCTTTGAGGACGAGCTGCGTCTCAAATGCGCCGCTAGGTCTCAACTAGGTGTTTAACGCAGCTGAACGGTTGCCACGGGAGATTAACAGATTTCTCAAGCATGTGTGAAAGAATCAAAGCAACCCTGCAGCCATGTTTTTTGATTTGGGAATGACAACATGGATGTAAACATTTTTTAAAAAGTCAATTTCATAATACTGCCCCTTTAATAAAATAATTCTGTGAGGCTGTTTCATTATACTATACCTTCCAGTGTGTTGTGGGGACTTTTGGGCTCTTCTCTGGCAACATACACTGACATTTGAAGGCAGGAAAACAAAGACCGAGTTTAGAAGAAAAACCACCTGAAGACTTTTCAGTGTTGAAACGTGGATATAAAAATGTACACTATCCAGGTAAAGATATGATGGTTCTGTTCTGGATGGGATGTAAGGACAATCTCCTTATTCCTCAGGAAAAAGTGTGAGAAGATCACAAGATATTTTTGGCACAAAAACATTGGACGTCCCTAATGCAGCACCATAACCACAGTGAGGAAGAGTGGTGTCGGCTTTATGCTATAGGGATTTAATTCTTTAGATAGAATTGGTGCTTTTGTGAAAAGTGTAGCAAATGTTAAATAAAAAAGGCTCAAAATCTGTATAGTAAAGCTGAAGCTGAAGAAATTGTAAGTTTCATAATATTCTAGTCAAAGTCCAAAACACATAGTCTAACAGAAAACATGTAGGGTCACTTGAAAAAGGCTATACAGAAAATGTGCTCTTGCAATATGAATAAGGCTGAGAACTTTTGGAAATGCCTGCATGCTGACAGGCAAATTGATCAGAATCAAAAGTTTCTATGACAAGAATTAGTTTAAAGGTGTGCAAATTTATGCTAATGGGTAATGGGACCTTTGTCCATTTCTTTTGAGCAAATTACTTTTTCTATGGTAGATGGCAAATTAAATGAAGTTTGTACACATTTTAAATCCTCTGAAATTTCACTTCTCCATATGTTCAAATTAATACTTCCCTTCTATGCAGACAGATAGCAGGCAAATCACGCCAACTGTAGTTGATGAATCGGTTTTCATGGGCTTACCTTTTTTGGGGGGGATTCTTTGTCTTCAGCTGAAGCTGGATTCAAAACTGGACTCATTATTCATTCATTTAAATTCAAATACAAACAGTTGAGGCTTGTTTTCGCTCAGAAGCATTCCATTGACTGTTTCTCATGAATTAAAGTGGAGGAATATTTATATTTGAAAAGAGAACCATATATACATTTTTTTCCTTTTTCCCTCATTTTGTTTATGTCTTATGTGTTTAATAATTTAGTTGTGACAAAACAAATTTAATTTTGTCTCAAATTTAATAATTAAATTATTCCAACTATCTATGTGTTTTCAAGTAAAGTTACCGAACATTGAACGCGATTGCGCAATGGTCACCCGCGTTACTGCTGTACAACATTTCCCAGGATGCTCTGCGGTCGCAGCCGGATATCCACCTTTTCTGCGCAGGGTGGAAGAAATCGTCGCTGCACGTGGGATTCAGACATAGCAACAACGCTTTTACCGAAAACCTTTGGACTTTCCAGACTTGAACAGTCTATTTGACTTCATTTGAACGTGTAAAACCCAAAGGCACAGTGTCGTCGTGATGTTTCTGCAATATTATCTAAATGAGAACGGAGACCGAGTCTACACTCTGAAGGTAAGCCTAGCTTCGTGTTTACGTCGCTAACATTAACATTTTAACACTCTGGCAGCATTTTATTCTCATTAAGTTTCACTTCCGCTTTTGAATGTTGTATAACTACGGTTTTAGATTCGTAAAAGTAAATAGTTTGTGACATATGGTGCACTTCGTGAGATAAAGAAATTAGGCAAACAGCTCGAGTAGCCACGTTAGCTTTTAGTGCTAATTCTGTACGTGTTGTTTACTTGTGCTTTATTGGGCTTTGTCGTATTGCACGCAGCAGCAAAACAATTAAGTCAAGCCAAAAAAAATAATGATTTCTTACCATATAGATGTTACTTTGTACTGTGTTTTTAGAATACTTTGCAAAAAAATATTATTTAAATCGGCTACGAGTGGGAGTCATACTGTTTTTTGTTTTGTTTTGTTTTTTTTAATGGAAAACTTGGACTTTTAGCAGACTTTGTATTGTTTTCTAAATCTCATACATTGTATCTCTAAAAAGTATATGTTTTTCTCCCACCAGACCATATGCTGTAATACTTTTCCTTGTTATCCACCAACAGAAGGCGACACCCGAAGGGCAGCCCACCAGCCCAGCCCACCCGGCTCGCTTCTCTCCAGACGACAAGTTCTCCCGGCACCGGGTGCTGGTGAAGAAACGCTTTGGGATCCTCCTCACGCAGCAGGCCAGGCCCATTCTGTGATGGAAGTGATGCTGGGCCTGCAACAAAGAAGACAAACTCCTGGGTTGGATTCAGAAAGACTTGACTATGAGCTGGATCAGCTACAACTTGGATTATTTTGGTTTTTACTTATAGTTATAATTGTATAAACTCAATAAAATTTGCTAATGCTTTTTACTTAGTTGTGTTTTGCGTTTGGAATGCAATCCAGCCTTAGAAATGAGGGAATCTTCTTGTGGGAATAAAAATAAGTTGAGGGTTTTAAAAGTAATTAATATTTCAAAGTCCTTTCTCTTTGTTTTGCCATGAAAAACTTGTCAAAATTACAGATTTTTTTTCTTTGAGTAAAAAGCAATCCAAAAGAAATGTACAAAGTTTTTGTAGCTACTTGAGACATTAACTCAAGCAAAGCTCTAAGGCTGAAATGTGAAGATTAATTGTATTATTCAATAATATCAGGATTTAGAAGAATAAGGGTTACTGGGATGGAGAAAGTTTTGGGGCCTCTTCTCCATTCCCCACTCCCCCCCAAAAAATATTTTACTCATAGCTAGGTCTACATTGGCAAGTACAAATTGATGAATGACGTCTTTAGAACATCTGACACAACTGTCACTAAAACATAATTTTTAAGTATTTGTATTTTAAATGAATAAAAATCCAACATTTAAATAAAATGCTATGTGTGACATGAGGCCTTGACTTTAAGATGAGGTGTAGTGTTTGTAAACATGAATATTGTTTACATACATTCAACAACAACAAAAAAATCCTTCTCCCCGCCCAAAAATTTGGGGCCCTGGGCTACTTTCAGGCTGGCGCAGGCCCTACCAACAACAACAAAGCATTTAGAGCTTCACTTTCACCAGCTGCAAATTCGAATCAAACATCCACAAAAAAAACAAGAGAAATGCCACACAACACAAAGTAAAGAAAGAAAGTAGAATGATGGATGGATAATAAAATCGATAATATACTTGCGTGGGAAAATAAATGGACATGGATGGAAGAATCTAAGGATTAATGGTATATATATCATTGAGAACGTCAATTTCTCCCAGAATATAAATCAGCACTACATTCCCCAGACGTCTCAACGAAAGGTCATAATCACGCATGCGCAAACTAGATGGAACGACGGCAAGGAAGTTGGGACCTGAGGAGCGCAGTCGCGTGCTGTTTTTTGGTGGCTCATTTGGAATAAATGTGCGGAGAAAGCCCGGCGCGGGAGCTGAATGTTTACGGATAAAAACTAAAAACAAATGTAAATTGGAGGAGCCGTTCAAGGGAAACAGGGGACAGGTATGTGTTTACGGTGACTAGCGGGTAAATTGTGAAGAATTCGACCGGGAAAAATTGTCGTTGTGAGAGAGCTATCTGGAGGTTCAGAGAGTTGACAGGTTGTCTGCGGCGTGGCTAGGCTAGTCGCCCTCCTCAGCCGATACTGCAGCTCTGTTCTGGCGACTGCCTCAGCCGAAACACCTTAAGTGTCCTCCCAGGCTTACAAAAGTTATTAAGGACAACTTTAAAATAAAACACGGCTTGCATTTAAACCAGTCATTTTTTTAATTTTTTTGTCGAAATTGAAAGCGCTACTCTGTATAATTTTTATTTTTATTTTTTGCCGGTTTTATTGCGTTAAAACTCGCCGCTCAGTCGCAGTTTCTCATTGAATTTACATAGAGGCGACACAATGTAACGCAACATAGTGTGCTTGGGATCAGGTGCTTATGGCTGCATTTTAACCAGTTCTGCTGAAAAGGGACGCGTTTGCCGACCGGTTCAAGCCAGAATTATTATAGCTAGCTTAATTGGCTTAGAATGGCAGCTGAGTGGCGGGGTTGAAAATCGAGCATCATCATTGGAACCAAATTAATGTTCAGCATTAATCTGACTGCTACTGCTCTCGGTTTAATGCATATATCATACATTTCAGTTTGTGTCAAATAGTCAAAACTGACTTTATCCTAAAGAGCTTAACAGCTGTAGGAGATAATATCTGCTCAGTTTTGAGTGACATAGTCATCGCCACTGAATACGATGAACATATATATTCTGCTGTTTTTATTTGCGGTGTTCTGGAGCGGGATTTGGAGCAGCTGTCTTTGAGAATCAGAGGCCTAAGAGGATTTGACAGCCAGATGGGTAACAATACTGCACCCAGATGCCAGAAGAAGTCCTGACAGTTTGACTGCAGCATTTCTGAGCACCTAAAACACACAAAAAAGTGATATCTAAATAATAATAATAAAAAACCTGTTATTACTCATAGATTTTGAGAGTACATAAGTGCTGTCAGAAATGAGGACAAAATGTCTTGAATCATCTTGTCAAGATGTCAGCACTAATTAGATCCTTTTAGACTTCTTGTCGATTCAAGTAATCGCCTCCTCTGGGTTATTTGGGTGGCTTCAGGTTCAGGAGGAAGTTGCAGTCAGTCACAAGTGTTGTACCCCACCCTCCCAACTCTTTATACAGCGGCATGTGAACAGAAGTCTCAGTTCTCCTGATGTTTCATACAGATTCTTCTAGGTGTGCCGGCTGTAAGCCCCCACTTCTGTTTGTACTAGAAATGCACCGATTAGGGGTGGCTAAGTTCCAGTTTCTGTGAAGTTCTGACCTGTCCTGGTTCTGCAGATGATAAATAATTCTGACTTTGCTTTAAGAAATATAAATGACAGCTGTTAGAAGTATTTTTTTTTTCTAGAGTTCTTACTATTAGTGGTTGTGGTAGTGTTGTTTTTAAGGTTTCGTAGACTCGATTAGATTGAGGTCCAAAATTTGCAACATTTGTTACATTTTCAGCTGGCGCGGTTCTCTTTCACATGTCACTGTGTCATGTGAAAACTAATTGAAAACTAATTCCTCGCCAGTGGCAGCGCTGCGTCAGAAACTACCGAAGGAAATGGCACAAAAAGATATGAGCGCATCTTCTTCACAAAATGCAAATAAAAATGGAATAGCATCAGGTTTTAAGGCTTGTAGGATTTCCTTTTTGTCATTTATAAAAAAAAAAAAAGTTATTTTTCCTGCTTGCGCCAGACTCAGCTGGTGTGAATTCATCCTTTATATTAGCAACTAACATGAACTCTACCTATAAACATAAATCACTGTGTGTATCAGCTCTTTAGAGAATCAAGGTCCTAATATCCTGCCAACACATTGAAGGTTGAAAGCACAAAATAACAAACCAAAGCAACTTTCTTCAGCTCTCCTTGTATTTTCTAAAACCAGCTCACTTGGTTCACTCTTGCCAAGTCAGCAAAAACTTCCCCAGGGCATAAATCTGACTCAACGTCTCTTTCCTTAGCCAGAAAATACAAAATGTTAAAGGACTAAATCCTGTCTCTCAAGTCACTTCTTACAGCTAAGGAGTTCAGTTTTTAAATGCCTCATCGCCACTGAAAATTGTTGGTTTTGAGTCTTCTTCCTGCATTAGCAGCTTCCATGCTGAAAGGAGTTGGTAGAGTTTAGGCATGATGCATTCACTTGTTAAAACACTGAATATTTAGTGGTTTTTAAAGCTGAAAATTGTCAGATTTCATCCCACTGACCATTTCCCCTTGTGCATTTCCAGCTTGTATGTGTGAATATTTTTGTTCTGTGTACAAGCAATACTGTACACAGAGGGATTTTTCTTCTACAGGATTTTCCCCTAGAGAAGAAAGTCACCGTTTTCCAATTGTTTTCAATTCCGACCCGTCTGAAAATGGAAACAAGAAGTTCCTCTTGTCTAGGAGTTAATTTTTGGTCTGAACTTGAC